ATTACTCTGATCACTGGCCTTGAGCAGTATTTGTGCCTGCCATTGGCTCATTAACCCCTTAACCTTATTTCAGCATACTTTGTCGTACACCACAAGGATCATAGCATCGAACAGACGCCGAGGCACACCTTCAAACGTCAACTGAGAAGCTTTCGTTTATTTCGAAAAATTTTAAGCATAAATCACTATGGTTCATCATGGGGTTTTTACATATTACAGAAAAAATGATATTAGGGATCAATGAAAGCTCCTCTTGAGAGTGGAGGGTGGGGGGGGGGGGAATGTAAGTTAGGATGAATCCAGTTTTTTAATCATCTTTTTCTCAGGTACCATTGAAATTTCTCCTGTTCGATTTAAGCTCCATAAATTCATGAAATATTCTCTGTTTTACCAATCCTCGACTTCTGGCAAAGGCCTGTGTCATTTATTGGCCCATAAGTTGTCCTCATTGAACTAAGGAACTATTCATATTTCGTTCATAGAAATACATTTGTGTGAGATCAGTATTTCTTCAATCGCAATCACAATATCTAAACTATGAAGACGTCTTATACAGATTTTTTGGTTGTTGACAACGAAATTTATTCCTCGGATGAGGACGAACAGGAAATTCCTTTCAGCAAGTCCTCCTATCGAGCATTCTCTCCACTGCTAGATCATTGGGAACAGCGCATCGTGCGATGTCTTTTCAGTGACAATTTGGATTGCTTCATCAAGTCGTGTGCTGAAACCGCCATGTTTATTCGGAAGCATGTCATAGTTAATTACATAGAAGTAAGTATTATCATCATTCAGTTTCAACTTTTGCAGAATTTGCCTTTGTATAGAGCAATGAAGTTTCCAGATTCCTTGAACCAAGCCAGCATTATTCACATTGTTCTGCTTTTCTCTGCACATCGAATTCTCGAGTACCTTCTGAATGAATATCCAGCATCCAAAATCTGGAGCACAACAGAAGTGAGTTGATTTATGTGATCATATTTCTTCCAATAACAATTATTTCAACTTAAAGTAGAATTCAAAGTAATTAGGGCAATGCTAATGAGAATATAGTAGAACAATCAATCAATAATTGTTATAACAAATTCGGAAGGTATACGGACTTTATTTTTTTAAACATTTTACTTTGAAATTTAATTTTAGACTCCTCTACTATAGTCAACTCCTTGCCATGAGGCAGTTACTTGTTAAGAGGTAAAATGTCTGGCAAGAAATGTGATGTTATTTCGCAAACCGTCTTATGCGATTACCCCTAATTGCTGAGATAAATTTCATGTCTGTGAGAGGAAATTTTTTGATTAACGCTAAAATTCCTGTTTCCATGGGTGTTTTAGTCAGTAATTTCTTACACAAACTTTGAAATCCGCAACCTCCAGTTTCTAAGTAGCGGAGATGATTGGTTATTTGATCCATTTCTCACCCCCAAAATACCTCTAATTGCTATTTTCTTGTACCTGATTTGAGTAACTGAGTAGTCACCATTTATGACCCAATCATATGATAAGTCTATGTGAGCTAAATTTCTAACTAAAATTGATGGACATTTTGAAACCGCGCTAACGAGGGACGTTTTTACAGAATTCTCGATTAATTCCTGTTGGAATTAAGAAAATTGTGATCTTTGGAATCGTTACTTCAAACACGTCTCCAGTACAACATAATAAAGTGGTTGGAATGGCCTACAGTTTCGAAACTATGAACTATTGCAGTGGTTATAATCAGTTAAATATAATGAAGAAATGAATTCAAACAAATTTTAATTACCTTTAAGCACCTTCTTACGGAAGAAACTTTGTGCTCATAATTGCAGATGGAGGTAATTTGAGTTCTTAAATGTTAATGACTATTTAGAACCTTGTGAGGCTGGCGAATCGATAATCACTTCTGCCTTACAAGGTATCGTAAATCGATTTTACAAAATGCATGATGTATAAAATGCAAATGTAAGCTACTCAATATCATCAAAGATCAATCTGCTTTCTCAAACTAGGTAAGGAGAAATGAAATAAAATGAAAAAAACGGGTCATCGTAAGTAATCAATTAGTCAATATGAATTGGAAATGATGATCGGATTTCCGAATCAGTGAATTGTTCAGTAATTCCAGAGCGTGAATCATGGAACAAGAATACTTGAACATAAACTACAGGTTAGTAAGCACCTTGAAATCCGAAACCAAGAATTAAATGAAGTAAGATCCTTTGATGTCATGGCCAGCTTTCAACGCCATTTCAATTCCTTCTTATTGATTATTCCTTAAACATTCTATTAACTGAATTTCAATTGCTCTCCCACAACGAGAAATTATGCTTAGTTTCCACCTTGCCTTAGCCTATAACATCACCTTCAATTTTGTTCACAGGAAGGAATCAATGCCCTCCACGTTGCAGCTGCTTTAGGTGACTATATGGCTCTTCGAATGCTTCTTCAAAGGAAAGACGCTCCTATCAGTAAAAGTGATAAGGTAACTGGTAGTAGAAGCTTACAAAATGACCTGCAAATATCCAATTTAACAGTTTTTCTTCTTTACGTTTTCAAGCTGAAACGAACAGCCTTGCATTATGCTGCGGAAACCAACTTGGAATCTGTTATCACTCTCTTGTCTTTTGACAAGCAATTACTGACATGCAAAGACATTGTGAGCTCATTATTTTTAAATATTGCGTGATTTCTGATAGCTTTATTTAACTTAGTTAATTTTTTTAACTTAGAATGAGTTAACACCTCTTCAATTCATTCGTAATGAGCGTCAGCCAAAAATGAACCAGTTTCTCAAGTTCCACACTGAACTCATTGAGAAAAGCGAAGGGAATGAGGAGAGTGGAGGAGCTGACAGTGGAAAGGTCTGTTGCTTCCCTAAAAATGTATTTTTATTTGTTACTGTCATGTTAACTTTATAAGCATTTTGAAAATGTCTGATTAATAAATTGAAGAGGTAGATACAGTAATCTACTCGATACTTAGTCGGTGGCAAAAACATTTTCTGCACTCAACAGCCTGTGTACTTTTGCGAACAATATTCATGCACCACCAATAGACTGCTTTTCTCTCATTCTCTTTAGGTCAACAGGTTAGCACAGTTCGTCTGTTTTAAGAAAGAGCATCTATGAGAAAAGACCTTGCAAACACACGAATGTTAAATGTAAATAGTGCGGTGTTAAGTATTAGGAGGCTATGAGAATACTAAAATGAAATAACAATTAAAGTTTTGGGAAAGGGAGATAGATCTTAGAGAATATGTTGGGCTTTTTGAACAAAAACTCAACTCCTGACTCAATGTGGGAGTGGAATGAAATTCACCTTATTATTCGCGATTAACTATTTATTTACTTCAAACGACAGGCGTTTTGATAGCTATCATTAGCCATTTAGCTGACTTCGGGCTTCACAGAGGAAAGGTTCATCAAAGTAGTAGAAAGTCGAGGGGTGTGGGAACAGAAGAGCGATTCACAGATGTAAAAGAGGCAGACAGACACAAAGGTAGAGAAAAAGGTAAGATGAGTACTGTGGTAGGGGACGAATATGACATACAGTCGGGCCATGGTAGTTTGAAGTCAGAAGTCACCTGCCGGTTAATAAACTTTTTTTGGCATATGAGTATACGTTGCCCAGGGTGCACCACGTGGAGGTAAGTCTATTGCACATCCCATTCGCGATTAACTAACAGATAACTTACAACTAGTATCAGTGGCAGAGATTACCACCGACTCTGCGCTTAATATGAAACCACGTTTAGTTAATATCTTAACCATTCTTCTGCTCCATTTCAAAGGTACGCCTGACATATGCCTGCCATAACTTAATCCTCCTTCACTTTGTTCCTTTTTTACCATACCAATCACCAATAAGCCCACAATTTTACTACCTTTTTCAAGGCCATCAACATGCGANATTTTTGCTGTATGAGTATACGTTGCCTAGGNATGAAATTCACCTTATTATTCGCGATTAACTATTTATTTACTTCAAACGACAGGCGTTTTGATAGCTATCATTAGCCATTTAGCTGACTTCGGGCTTCACAGAGGAAAGGTTCATCAAAGTAGTAGAAAGTCGAGGGGTGTGGGAACAGAAGAGCGATTCACAGATGTAAAAGAGGCAGACAGACACAAAGGTAGAGAAAAAGGTAAGATGAGTACTGTGGTAGGGGACGAATATGACATACAGTCGGGCCATGGTAGTTTGAAGTCAGAAGTCACCTGCCGGTTAATAAACTTTTTTTGGCATATGAGTATACGTTGCCCAGGGTGCACCACGTGGAGGTAAGTCTATTGCACATCCCATTCGCGATTAACTAACAGATAACTTACAACTAGTATCAGTGGCAGAGATTACCACCGACTCTGCGCTTAATATGAAACCACGTTTAGTTAATATCTTAACCATTCTTCTGCTCCATTTCAAAGGTACGCCTGACATATGCCTGCCATAACTTAATCCTCCTTCACTTTGTTCCTTTTTTACCATACCAATCACCAATAAGCCCACAATTTTACTACCTTTTTCAAGGCCATCAACATGCGAAATTTGATGGAAGCCCCATTACTTTTCGACACCTATGTCTGCATTTACCAAGCCCAGAGGCAGTAAGTTAATATTAAATTCTATGCAAATTATTGCGCTTCTTTATGAAGATTGTATGGAAAAGTTTTGTGACTAAACTTTTAATCGCGTGCTAAGGGACAACATTTGTGAGAATTGTAACACCAGAAGCAATAATCATGAAATTTTCTCCGAAAATGACGCTTTCACTCGTGTGATAGCCAGCAGAAAGTACGGTTTCGTTCGACGTCCAACTAACACTTTTGGTCAGTTTGAGAAGACCTTCTCGCCGGTCGTTAGTCAAGTAACTACCCCTTGATGATGAAATTGACCCTCCAATAGTTAAAACAGCTTACTTACCCTTATTGCCTTTCCTTAATTACCGTTTTAGTATATTAGATTGGCGGAGAGTACCACCGTTGAGAAGTTGGAATTACTCTTGTTTGATCTTTGGCAAATGCCGAAACCAGGTTTGATTCTCTCCTTCTACGGGACTGATCCCGTCTCTCCATCATTGCAGAAACTCCTTCAAAAAAGCCTGGGTCGTATTACTAGACAGACCAGTAAGTTAAATAACTATTCCATTTTAAAGTCCCCCCCCTACAAACAATTCTGCAATTTTCTGGTTTTTGATCACTTGATCTTGCCGGCTTTTAATCCCCTGTGTCTGAGTGCTTTGGGATTGGACATTTTTACGCTTTGCAATAAAATGAAATTTATTGCCCATAAAGCATCAATTTGGGCAATTTGTCTACTGAGAAGTAAAGCTTCAGTCTTGTTTCTCTTCGCATGTCCGGATGCAACCTGCAATAAAATGTCCGTTTGTAAAATGCTCATTTTCTAATTTATGTCTCTAATCGATTGTTCATACCTAGAAATATCATTACGCAATTCATATCCGAGTACTGCGCGAAACAATGAAATGACTGAAGGCTTCTCCTAATTTTCAGGAACATGGATCTTGACAGATGGTCGAGAAAAGTGTGCTGGTGATGTGGTTTCGAAAGTTGTGAAGGCCCACGCTGAAGCATACGGTATGCACCAACTGCAAGTCATTTGTTTGGTTCCTTGGCGAAAACTCTACAACTCCCATGTTCTTCGATGCAGTGACTATATGGTAGGTCGAATTAATTTACCAAAATCAAAACCAATTATTTCTTAGAAATGAAGTCTTATTCTTTGCCCCCTCACGAATTTTATTAGGTATTTAAAAATTCAATGATTTCGGTATACCAGATGCTTCCGTTCTGGTGAAAAGAGCGCTGTGTTTTATGAATATGTTCCTTTTACTAACAACAGAAAGATGAGTTTAAGTATGAGCTTGCATGTCAGTTTGTTGTTAAAGTAGAGGTCTGTTACTTGTACAAATTTCCTTCTTAAGTGATCTGAACTTATCAAACTAAAACGATAAATAGTCAAAATCGATGTCAATTCTCACTGTTTTAGGGAAGAGAACAAATGGCTTTTCCAAAAAAGCCCCCAGAAAACGATACCAGAATCCAACTGGCAGAGAACCACACCCATTACATATTCCTCGATTCAAGAGAAAATCTTAAAGATCTTCCACTCTGCAGAACGCAATTCGAAGCTTTTGTTGGTCATCTTAGTGATCACATTGGTGGTGGTAAGAGTTTGCGTTCTGATTTTGCTGTTTGTTTCAGCGTCGGAGCTTAGCGGTGACAAGGAGAATCATCTTTTATCTAGCCGCAAACAGCTACTCGATCAGGGCATGCCTAAACGCCTCAATTCACCCTTTCGGTTACCTAAAGGCTTGACAAGTAACTTTCCTTTGTGTGTACCTCTGATTGATTTAGCTAACCGTGTACCGGTATGTGGAATTCTTATTGAGGGAGATCGATCGAATTTACTTGGAATTTCGTATGCCCTTCGTCAGAACATACCCTTTGTTGTTATTTCTGTAGGAAATATCTTTGCAGTATAAATCCACGTTTAGGATACTGGAGGGTTAGCTGAAGCGTTAAAAATATTTGTCAACTTTATGAAGCACCTCCTTCAAGACGAAGCTAAAGGGACTTTTCAGTTGAAGTGGAGCAACTGCAAATACAGCCTGCACAGGTAATTAATTGAAATTTATTTATTTATTTCAAATGGCAGGCGTTTTGATAGATATCATTAGCCATTTAGCTGACTTCAGGCTTCACAGAGGGAAGGTTCATCAAAGTAGCAGAAAGTTGAGGGGTGGGGAACAGAAAAGCGATTCACAGATGTAAAAGAAGCAGACAGACACAAAAGTAGAGAAAAAGGTAAGGTGAGTACTGTGGTAGGGGTCGAACATGACAACCAGGGGGGTCGTGGTAGTTTGAAGTCAGAAGTCAAATGCCGGTTAATAGACTTTTTTGCCGCATGAGTAAACGTTGCCCAGGGTGCACCACGTGGAGGTAAGTCTATCGCACACCCCAATTAATTGAAATCTAATCGGTTAATTCGTCCCTACAGCTTAATTGAAAAGGCGAAAGGTGTGATAACTTTCAAAGCGAGCGATGAGGTGTACTTGACGGAGATTTTGGAGAGAGCCTACCTGCTAGAATTTATCACTTCTAGCTATGAGGATTCTGTGNTGAGAGGAGGGGGGGGGGGTTAAACAGAAGAATGTTTTAAAGATGTAAAAGAGGCAGGCACAAAGGTAGAAAAAGGTGAGGTGAGCACNTATATATTTAAAAATAAAATAACTAATCCAAATATGAATTTGTTAGTAAATTTAAAATGGATTAAAACTAGGAACGCCTATGAGTTGAATTACTAAAACTTGTGCGCACTCCAAATAGTCAATTTAACTAGTCGTGAAATAATTTTAAGTACATATAAGCTCATTGAAGTTCAGAACTGTAAAATATAGTTATTTCAGATGGCAGGCGTTTTGAAAGTCATCATTAGCCCTTTAGCTGACTTCGAACTTCACAGAGGAGAGAAACATTTTTACTTATTTATTTATTTATATCAAATGGCAGGCGTCTTGATGGTTATCATTAGCCCTTTAGTTGACTTCAGACTTCACAGAGGAGAAGGAACATCAAATTGAAAAAAAGTCGAGAGGGAGGAGAACAGAAGAGTGTTTCAAAGATGTAAGAGACAAACACAAAGGTAGAAAAAAGGTAAGAAGAGTACTGTGGAAATAGTCGTATATGGCATAGAGTGAGGTGATGGTAGTTTGAAGTGAGAAGTCAACTACCGTTTGATAGACATTTTTGCTGTATGAGTATACGTTGCCTAGGGTGCACCACGTGGAGGTAAGTCTATCGCACACCCCATATTGGACCTACTAATGGATTACTTATTTCAAGCCATCATAAAAATCATGCCAAAGCATTACTTTTACTTTGGACCTTACTTTACGTAAGTTGATCAGAAATATAACTTCTCAATTACTTTTCTACATCCCATTAAGCCCTAAATGAATGCTCACAAAAGTAGTTTTCTGTGACTCTAGAAGGCGTGGGGAGGAGGGGGGGAGTGATGAGACGAGTAAATAATGTCTTGGCAGTATCAGTTTTTGTCAAGGGGGGCAGTGGTGGTGAACACTATTAATCGCGTGCAATGCCAATTAACAGCCGATTAACTAAGTATCTGTTCTTCCCCCCCCCCCCCTCCCCTTCTTAACGGTCTTAAATTTCCGCACACACGCGCCAAAGCCAAATCAACATCTTGTATTTCCCAACTTCCCCCCCCTCACCGCTTAAAGCACAGATCTGCAACCACTTATCCCACCAACTTAAGTCGGGCTGATTGGGTGGGCTATCTTATCAGCCCAAATTGGTTGACATAAGAGATGCTGATGCACGCTATTTCGGCGTTTATCCTACATCCGCCACCATCCACCTACTCNTTATTCCAAAAATTTGTCATTTTACAAATTCCAACTATTTAGAATTATGTCGAAATTTTTTTGCCTAAAACCGTAATGTTTATTTATTTATTTCAAATGGCAGGCGTTTTGATAGTTATCATTAGCCCTTTACCTGACTTCGGGCTTCACAGGGGGAAGGAACATCAAAGTAACAGAAATTCGAGGGGTGGGGAACAGAAGAGTGATTTACATATGTAAAGAGACAGACACAAAGGCAGAGAAAAGGTGGGATGAGTACTGCGGAAGTGGTAGAATATGGCATACAGTTGGGCCATTGTAGTTTTAAGCCAGAAGTCAATCGCCAGTTAATAGACTTTTTTGCCGTATGAGTATACGTTGCCCAGGGTGCACCACGTGGAGGTAAGTCTGTACGAATTGGTAATTATTGATTTATATACCATCTTATTCACACCAAATGTGCTCCCTTAGAAGTTACATACGGTTCTTGTGGGAATCGTTTAATGCTTTAAATAAAACAGCGCGTTAGCTCAAAGTTAAATTTTTAAAGTAAACCAATGCCATGTTAGGTTCATAATCACTTAACTTGTCTCACATCATCAAGGCAGGCATATTCATTTACTACGAAGAGGGTAAATTAAATTATAAAAATAGACAATCCTCTTTTCCTTATCTGCTTGGGCACCAATTAAATTTACTTGTTATTTAAATAACAGTTAATCCATTACCTATAATTTTTGTCGCGGCTGAAGTTGAGCTTTCGGGTAGCCAAGGTGCGGCAAGCAAATCGCGAATGTTTGTGTTATAAAATCCATAGAAAGGACATACATTATAAGCAGAGTTTGGGTTAACAAATATTTTTCCTGAATATTTATAATAAAAGATAATTATTTATATTAAATGGGAGGCATTTTGATAGTTTCATTAGCCTTTTAGGTGACTTCAGGCCTCACAGAAAAGAAGAAATATCAAAGGAAAAAAAGTTGAGAGGAGGGGGGGGGGGTTAAACAGAAGAATGTTTTAAAGATGTAAAAGAGGCAGGCACAAAGGTAGAAAAAGGTGAGGTGAGCACTGTGGAAGTATTCGAATATGGCATACAGTGGGGTGATGGTAGTTAGAAGCCAGAAGTCAACTGCCGGTTAATAGACTTTTTTGCCGCACGAGTATACGTTGCCCAGGGTGTACCACGTGGAGGTAAGTCTTTCGTGCATCCCATAATAAAAGATTTTGTACCTTTGTGGTGCTAAGAAATGAAGCCAATGGAGTTCATTTTTTTGCGCAGGTGGATACTTAACTTTTAAAGTGGATTGCTGCACCAATAAGCTTCGCTAATACGCACATTCTCCTAAGTTTAGAAAGACTATCATAGCTAGATAAGCTATAGAGGAAAGAGATATAACACGTAGAACACGTCTATTTGGGATACATATGCACATATATACATTATGTGTGTACAGAAAAGAAGCATAGTCATTATTATTAATATAGCGGGTTCGAAAAACCAAGCAAGGACTAATGATTGNCGTCCAGATATATAGGTACAATAAAAGGTGAAGTTCATTGGGATTATGAGACTAATTAACTAATGATCTTAATAAATGTCCACTTGAGGGTTTACAATAGCAACAGAACTGTAGCGAAATGACCATCCAAATTTGGTCAATAGAAACCGCCACAAAATATTAAATAGTTGACAAAAAATAACATTATGTCCCAATTAGGGGACTCAGTTATGTATATTTATTTATTTATTTCAAATGGCAGGCGTTTTGATAGATATCATTAGCCATTTAGCTGACTTCAGGCTTCACAGAGGGAAGGTTCATCAAAGTAGCAGAAAGTTGAGGGGTGGGGAACAGAAAAGCGATTCACAGATGTAAAAGAAGCAGACAGACACAAAAGTAGAGAAAAAGGTAAGGTGAGTACTGTGGTAGGGGTCGAACATGACAACCAGGGGGGTCGTGGTAGTTTGAAGTCAGAAGTCAAATGCCGGTTAATAGACTTTTTTGCCGCATGAGTAAACGTTGCCCAGGGTGCACCACGTGGAGGTAAGTCTATCGCACACCCCAATTAATTGAAATCTAATCGGTTAATTCGTCCCTACAGCTTAATTGAAAAGGCGAAAGGTGTGATAACTTTCAAAGCGAGCGATGAGGTGTACTTGACGGAGATTTTGGAGAGAGCCTACCTGCTAGAATTTATCACTTCTAGCTATGAGGATTCTGTGGAAATGGATGCGCGGATATTACAGTCATTTGTAAAGCCAGGTGAGTAGTTTAAGTAATTTCCTTTCCAATTCACAACGAACCGACTTTGTTATGCACTCGTTTAAAGAAGTGGTCAATTAGTATCCGTATCTTGATTGAATTTTTTTTAGTAATTAAGCCATTGAGGCAAAGTTGCTTTAACCACCTTTAGTCTCTCAGTAGTATCAACAGCTCATTTTCACTTTTCATATTTGACACTTAATTTTGGTCGTAGTCCCATTTCTATCTCAATGCGCTTTGATCTACTTGTCGATTGAGAAGCAACTCACAATTGGAAGATCACACATCATTCTTTTATAAAATAGATTCTGGTAAGACCACCCATACTGTAATTTTTCTAGGAATTTAAACACCAAAACCCTGATAACTCTAATATAGACAATGTGGGATTGAGTATTGCAGGACATTATGGGTGGTCTTCCATTGATCTGAGGTTGTAATCAATCAGTATATGAAGAATACTGTCCTGCACTCCACTACTCGCTATCCAAACTGCGAGCTTGATTTAACAAGTTTTAGAGCTTCTTAACATTTGAAGTGCTTCTGGGGTGTTTGCGTCCGAGTTGTTCTAAAGTGAAGGGAAAAGCCAAATTTCCCTTTAGAATAGAAGGAAAAACAAACTTAAAAATCATTCACATTCGAATATGGTCAGGATGCTTTTATAAAAAAAGTAATTGAAGGTTCCAGTGAGACACAATCTTACGTCTCGCCTTGACGATGTTCTTCTTGAATATCGTCCTCCTACCACTGTAACTCTATCTTAAAATGTAGTGGGTGAAGAGAAAATCTAACAAAGACATTGGTGGGTTCTACATAATTACTTGTCTAATTGTACATTTATGTTAAGCAAATTCAACGCACCAATTTACGTTTTCTCTCATCGATATCAAAAAACGATATTGGGATTCAAATGAAGCTTCTTCGAATGCTAGAATAATACCGTTTGCGATCTTTGTGCGTAAAAATGCGAGCTATGAAAGAATTCGCCTCGATTGTGGTGAAAAATCGGAAAGAATAAAAAAGTAAGTCTCAAAGTTCGAGGCTTATTCAGGACAAAAAATGTCTAAAGTGGTTGGTCAGTGCCTTTTCAATACGTCTTTGTCACCTGGACAGCTGGCGAAAACAAGGAATTACTCCTCTCCTGCGGTATTCCGATATAAAATTTAAATATGAAACGATTAGTAATCACGTGAATAATTAGTGAATTGGTTAAGTTTTTTAGAATTATTTATTTATTTATATCAAATGGCAGGCGTTCTGATAGTTTTAGTTGACTTCAGGCTTCAGACTTGATCTTCCAGTTTATCTCTCTCTCTCTGTCTCTGCCTAGCCCTTAATGAACTGAAGTATTGCGAAATTTCCCGATTCACTGTATTATGGTCGTATACAAAAAGCTCCATCCTACCGTTTTTTATTCTTCATCATTTATATATTTATTTCAAATGGCAGGCGTTTTGATAGTTATCATTAGCCCTTTAACTGACTTCGGGCTTCACAGAGAGGAGGAGGAACATTAAAGTGACAAAAAAGTCAAGAGGAGAGACAGAATAGTGATTAACAGATGTGAAAGAGTCAGACAGGCACAAAGGTAGAGAAAAGGTGTGGTGAGTACTGTGAAAGTAGTCGTATTTGACATACAGTGGGCTCATGGTAGTTTGATATCGGAAGTCAACTGCCTGACCTTTTTTACTGTATGAGTATACGTTGCCCAGGGTGCACCACGTGGAGGTAAGTCTATTGCACACCTCCTCCATTTGTATGGAATGAGTCATACCAGCCTGACAGAGGCCTTTATTCAACTCTTATATAGATTATTGCGTCCTTTTTGCAGAGCTATTTGAGGGAGTAGACGAGGAGGAGAGTTGGGATTTCAAGATCCGTATCGCACTTTCCCTGAACAGAATGGATATTCTTCCAGAAAATATGTTCTCTCGTGTTCATTGGAAGGTAATTTGTGAATAAGTGGGAACCTTGGAATCCCCTGCATATTTTTTCTAATTCTAGGATAAGAAAGGAATGAAAGAGCTAGTCACCAAATGTCTCAAGGAGAACAACGCGAAATTTATTCGCCTACTTGTAGACTCGGGCTTTCCCTTGCACGAGTATATCGATGACAACTTGCTCGCAAAACTCTATAAAGATGATTTTAATAGCAATGTGCGCTAATACTACTAATACCCTTTAATCATTAGTACGCATCTACTGCCTTTGACTACCCTGTGATTTTATTTTTAGGATCCAAGATTCGAATTCTTTAGAAAATATGTCCTCTCCCTCACACCGGTATGTCGTAATCTCTACTTGATTTCGAATGCTTCTCATTAAAATTCAGATTCCTCAAGTGTTTCGGTGGGCACAAATAAGGAAAATAGTCAAAAGCCTCCTGGGATTCGAACCTGGAATACGTTTGGCGTCACCAAAGTCGAGAGCTCGGAGAGCAGCCAGTCTTGATGTTCTACTGACCCTGTCAGGTAGTAGACAATGGCATGCTTTTTGTACAACCATATTATTTTTTATCGTCATAAGCCCTTTGTACTTTACAGAAAACAGATATGAGTGTAATGATGGAGAAGAAATTCTACTTCAATTACTGATTTGGTCATTCCTTTGTCGTCGTTTCGATCTCTCTCACCTCATTTGGACCCTCATGAAGGATGCTATCCCCACAGCTCTCATGTTGGCATGCTTAGCTAGGAAAATGCTCCTTCAACAGCAGTCACAACGAGAAGTCACCGAATTGGATAAGATGGCTGAGTAAGTTTCCAACCATGTGATGTGGACGCTCCCACCAGGACAGAAAGAGACTGAAATATTTATAACAAATGGCAGGCGTTTTGATAGTTATCATTAGCCATTTAGTTGATTTCGGGCTTCAAAGAGGGAAGGAGGAACATCAAAGTGAGAAGAATTCGGGAGAGGAAAAGAAGAGTGT